GTGTCTGGGGCATTGTTGCTAGGCAGATTTAGCTTCCGCACCCAGACACTTCTGCAATTGGGGGTGGCAGTTTGGGGTTTGCTCCAAGAGGGTCTGGCTCTGTGGCTGGGCTCAGACTCCATGAACAGGCAAGCAGGGCAGCTGCTTTGCTAAGGCTTGCGGCTGGGAGACGCTGGCTGTGTCTAGGCAGCAGGCTCCTTTTGGAAGAAGCTTTTCCCGAAGAGATCTTCCAAAAAACTTCTTCCGAAAGCGCGTCCACACTGCCAAAGCGCATTGAAAAAGCAATCTGCTTTTTCGAAAGATGGTATCCACACTGAACGGGAGCTGTCTCACATTTAAACTGTGATTACTATGGACGAGTGGCCACCAGGCTACCTGTGCCCTCTCCTCTTTCCTCTTCTTCAGAAAGAACTCCCTTCCCCATCCACACAGGCCTTTTCCCAAAAGAGCTCTTTCAGAAAAAGGGTTCTTCCTCGTAGAAAGAGGATCACCAACGCTAGAAAACCCCCTGTTCTTTCCAGTTTTTTTCGAAAGAACACAATTGCAGTGTGGACTTAAGTGAAGCTTTTTTTTTTGAAAAACGGCCATTTGCCCGAAAAAAACTCTGTAGTGTAGACATACCTGCTGAGAGCAGGCTGCTGGCCCTCACTCTGCAGCAGGTAATGCTGATATTAACCCTCTACCAGGGCACACGGGCCAGGCTAATTGCGGCAAGGGAAACCTGGGGAGGAAAAGCACTTCTGCTGGGTTAGTTGTAGGCTTGGCATGTGGTTTTGATTTTAGACAAACTGTTCTAGTTCCTCTCTCAGCCAGTGCGATTCACCAGCTTCTCTCTACATGCAGCAATGGGGAAGTCATTTCTGTTTGGTTATTCCCAGGTTTTATGTATTTTCTTGTAGCAGGGTTTTCATTAAGTCTGTATCCTTGCAACTTAGCTGACTGGCTAATGAGCGAGCTGGCTGCCTAGCAGTGATCCACAGCAGGGGAAGAGGCAGCCTGGGTCCCAGCTGAGGATCCCTGCAAGCAAGCAGAGAGCTGGGTCTGACTCAGCCCGTGGTGCAGGTTCGGTGATCAGAGACACTCACAGGGACTTGGGTGACCCAAACCCTACGCTTCTGGGATCTCCTGGTTTCTTCCTGTGTTTTGTGAGTGAACTGGTCCCATTTTACTTTTGGGTTTCTCTCTGTTTCTATTAACAGTGGGTTATGAAATACCTCTGCTATCGTGCACAAATCAGGTCAGTCTTTGTTTCTTCATCATAAGGGTGTATGAAGCTATTGAATGGAATTCATTTCTGCAGTTCCTTAAAGGAGAGGAGGCCGACCCTGGGCAACCCTTGCTGAAAACCCTTTGAGGCTGAACTCTGGTCTCCAGAAGTTGTCTGCCCCCCAGCCTGTCTAAACACAGCTCTGTACAAACACTGGGTGGGACTTTCACATGGGCTTCAGGATTCAGGTGCACTCGTCCCATGGTGAGCGCTCCTCAATCACATGGCTGCTTTGCTGAGCTGGGGCATTCCAGCCAGGCAGGCCAAGATTTTCAAGAGCCACAAATGATACTTGCTGCTCCATTCACCTGGGACTGACTGTTAAGAGTGCTGACGGCCAGTAACCTGCACAGGTGTCCCTGGAGGGCAGCCAGAGCTCTGTAATGCTGAATTAAGGGGGAAGCACACCTGGGCAGGCATGGGTGGGGCTTCCTGAGCTAAGGAGTGGAGACTAGCAGGGAGAGTAGCCCGCTGCTGCTTCCTGAGCTGCAGGAGCTGGGCTGCAGCTAATGGGAAAGAGCTGCAGGGCCATGCCGGCAGGAGGGAGCAGGACACAGCCCAGGCAGCTCGTAACCAGGTCTGGGAGTAAGTAGAGCCCAGCTGTGGCACACGGCACACGCCTGGGTTCCCCGCCAGCCGTGGGGAAGTGGCACAGCTTTGGCCATAGGATGAGGGTGGCCTGGCCTGGCCTGGCAGAGGACAGCCCGTCCTGAGAGACGCTGACAGAGGCCAAGTCACTAAGAGCGAGCGAGCACAGCAAGGGGTGACCGGCTGGTGATGGACCCATCTCCAGGTGAGTCACGAGGCGCATGCCAGCGGTGAGTGGTGAACCCGGTGCTGGCTCTTTAAGGAGTTTCAGCCAAACCCTGCAGCACCCAAACTCATGAGTCAGACCCGGGGCATTAGCTCACTTCTTTGTTGCTGTTTCTATGAGGTTGGGGTCTGGTGCTGCCAGAGGAGCAGAGGGCAGACACGCTGGGAGACACGCTCCATGGGCAGACAGGAGGGTGGCAGGGGAAAGAGGCCAAGAGAGGGAAGTGGTTTTTTTCCCAAGTCACTCACCAAGCTGTCCTGATGCCAGACTGATGCTCTGTCCACTAGGCCAGACTGCCTTGTGATGCACTTAACTAACACTCCCTGGCACCAGCAGCTTTACCAAGCCTCCCTCGAGAGCTCAGCCACCGCTGGCCTCTGGGAAACTATTTATCCACGTGCTGTTCCACATGCCTGCTCCGGGCCAGTGACAGCGAAAGCGTGCTGAGCGCTAGTGGAACTGGCTAGAGCTGCTGTCACTGAGACCCTTGTATCTGTCTCCCCACCTACCCTGAGTTCCCTGGGGTGCTTCCCTGGAGCCAGATTTGAACCTGTTATGGGAAACCTGAGCTTAAAAGCAAGCTGGGGCTGTAACTTTTCGGAGAGGGCTCTCCGGAGAGGGCTCTCCAGTCTGCCCCAGGCTTACAGAGGCTTCTTTGCGTGCGACCGGCAGGCCTGAGGTTCATCACCACAGCCTGGTGCAGCCCCACACTCCCCTGCAAACAGTGTGTGGCTTTCCCAGGAACTGGCCTACGCCATGCGGGTCGTCAGACAGCAGCTCTCTCTGGCCCCAACACCGGGGGAGACAATCGTTTTGTGCACCATTCTGACAAACAATCCTCAGGGTCCCAAGTTATTTTGCAGGTCTCTGCTAGTTCAATTTCATTCTTCAGAGCCCACCCGAGCAGCGTTTGGCATGAATTTGGGTCCCAACTAGCTGACTGAGGTGACCTTTATTCTCCTAGTTAGCTGGATCACAGATGCAGTCTCATTTTCACCTGTCTGCCTCCGTGTTTCTGCGCTCAGACAAAGCTTCAGGCGGAGCAGTTAAGATTGCTACCAGACACAGCTGCTGAACAGGACCTGTACAGTGCTCCCTTCCCAAGCACACCCCTTACTATGCCCCCCTTCCAAACAACGTCCTCCCAGGACTTCACTGTGGGTCTTTAGAGTAGTGCTCTGTCGTGTTGCAATGGCTCAGTTTGCAAAAGGGAGAAATAGGGAACTGCTGTTCCTAGGGGACTCAGGAAAACTACGCCACTGAGGGAGAGGATTTTATCCATCAGCAGCTGCACCTAAAACCTTCTGTTAAAGGATAAAATCTGACAGAAGAGTAGGCATTGGCAGAGGCTGTTTTGAGTGTACGACGGAGAGAATAACAGTATTTTGGTGAATAACTGCACAAAACAATCCTCAATCCAAATATATTTATTTTCAAATTTACCCATTGCTTGACATTTTGCTCAAGGTTAATCTCTCCGCCAACTCTTCTGTAGGGTGTGTGTGTATATATATGTGTGTTTGCTTTTAAATCAAGAACAAAAAAGTGTTGGGATGCCACAGTCACATTTCAGTCACAACCCATTTTCAAACATTTCCCATTAAAAAGTGAAAAGTAAATGAACAAAAAGCAGCACAGAAAATCCAGAAGGATTCTGTGGAATTTCACGCTGAAAGATCAGTGAAATGTAGTGGAAAAACTGGAATTTATGCCCCGTATTAAGCCCTTTGTGGAACACAGCCTTAACTTTGGAGTCACAACCAAATGGTCTGTTATTTTTTTATATTAACATAGGGGTGATAATTATTAAATAAATTCAAGAAAAAATAAAAATATTCAAGACTGTAGGGTGTAATGATCAATATTTTCTGTTATGCTTCAGTATAACCTTGGAATTTTCAGTCATTTTCATATTTTTCAATTCTTGCCAAACAGTTTTACTTATGATAACTTATTTTTTCCAGTCTATTAGCCACCTGAAAAATTAAAATGCTTCTTTACCTATTTGTAGCTGGACTCTGAATTCCTCATTATAACACCTGAACTGACCCCAAAACTCTATTCTGTAGCCTTGCGACAATACCATGATTTAATCATCGGATTCAAAATAAACAAGATTTTAGACTAAGGATGTAAAGCCCTTTATACATCCAGTTTAATCAAATGCTTTCTCTATACATCACATTAATTTATGATGGGTACCTAGCTCTGCTTTTTGGCAATGCACAGGCTATTATACTAATGTAATTTAATGTTGAATAGATATTGGTTGGAAGGAAAACCTTTTTTACAGAGCTTTATGTTCCTGAAATACTCCCTGCAAGAAATAGGTTGACACAAGGATGGACCCAGCTGTTTTTCTTGGGGGGGGAGAGTGGTTTTCATGGTTAAAATCATGCACAAATCTTTGCACAGGATGTAATCAACCTCATATTTACAGAGAAACATTGAGAAATTGCCTTCAAGTGCCAGGAAACACAAGTCGTTTACAAATCAGCTCTTCCTTGTGTCCATTCAGCTCAACCCACACCACTAAAGAGATGCATTTCTCAAAACAAAAGTAAGACATGCAAAAACACAGAAAAGGCAGACATTATTTGTACACATTTGATACATGGACACAGAAAAGAGGCAGACACTAAAAAATAAGCACGCTGTCAGGGCCCTGTCTTACTGAAGGTTTTACATCACTCAATTCATAAAGCCCAAATAGCAGACGATCAGTGATAAAATATTAATTTTGCAATATTTCTCTTTCCATCAAAGTTTCTGCTTCCCTAGCTGCAATCCTATTCAACTCAGTGCCTCTTCTTTGGATCCCAACCAGAATCTCTCTTCGGACACCCCCAGATGCACAGTTTTCCTTAGGAGAGCAGGGACACCCGATATCTAAGCTATACATTCATAGACAACACTTACATTGATTTCACTCACCGCTGGTAAGTCTCAGTAGCTGTGTGCAAGGCTGAATGGAAAAAGGACCTCATACGATGGCTTCTCTAAATTTACCCGAAAGAAAGGAGCTTGTCCTTTAAGTGTCTCTAAACATGGTTTGCATAGCTGTGTCTCAGCTTATCTGTGCTTTTCTGCTTTTGCTTCCATACATGGATCTGTTCCCAACAGTAACTCCAAGCTGTCGAAAAGAAGCTATCTGGCAGCTTTGTGCTTCATCCAACACATAAATGATTAGAAAAAATCCTTTCTGCCTGCTTCTTTTACCCCCCCAGCCCCCTGCCACAACGTCTTTCTCAAATTAACTTGAAGATTACATATTTTCTTTTCAGGGCATGCTGAACAAATCGTTGCAGACTAGTATATGCAACCATAAAATATGCTGCTTAGGTTTATACTGTACTTAAAATGGCTTCAGTCTCATGCAAATCTTGACTGTTTGCCCATAACTTCTCAAAAGAATTGCACGGTAATTGTTAGGAGTGGGGGACACACACATCACAAAGACAGACACTTTTTTAAAATGTAAGGATTTGTATCTTTATTTCTGAGAACACGTTTCACTTTTCTTATAGGTCAGGCTTTGTAAGATTGTGCCTTGGAAAGATTTCAGCTTGATTTACATCCCGTCTGTTGCAGCAGAATGGTCAGAGTCACATTTTTGAGGGCGAGCGAGAGAGAATGCGCAGGAGAAATGTGACAGGCAGCTTCCAGACTAGTAACAGTAGCAGTAGCCACACTGGGACATATAAATGCCTCAAACCTTGAAGAATGGAAACCGCAGTTTGGGAAAGTCCCGGCATATCTGTCTATAAATAAATGAGAGAGGGAGGGAAGGAAGGAGGGAATCCTCCTCTTTAGCCACCTCCTTGTTGGCTCACATTGGGAGGGTCTGACCCAGCCCTCTGGCGATATGATGTTCTATGTGCAGAGCAGGAGAAGAGAAACCTAAGGTAGTGCAGATCACCTTAATGCTGCCCCTTTGCGGCCGTGCGTTCCCCCTAGCGTTCAGAAGTCAAGGAAAGCCAAGGGCAATGCCAAGAGGGGATTGGCTGTCTAAAGATGTGGTCTGTACCATGCTGTCCAGATCCCTGCCTGTGGTAGGGCACAATCCTGCAACCATGGAGCGGAGCATTCTGCCCCTTAGCTTTGTCCCCTTAACCTCTGTAGGGCTGGGCGCATGCTTAAAATTAAACACGCATCTTAACGGCTTTGCAGGCTCAGGTCAGAGTGCTGAGCGCCACGCTGAGCTGAGGGTCACTTTGCTTCTGGGGATGTGAGCGCCTCACAGTCTTGAATGTATTTCCCTTCATAGCACTGGAAGGCCAGCCTTACGATGGTCCTTGGCCCATGCATACTGGGGCCCGAGCCGCTGTCATGAGCGCCACGCTGAGCTGAGGGTCACTTTGCTTCTGGGGATGTGAGCGCCTCACAGTCTTGAATGTATTTCCCTTCATAGCACTGGAAGGCCAGCCTTACGATGGTCCTTGGCCCATGCATACTGGGGCCCGAGCCGCTGTCAGGCCCCCACGCCTCCCGTTAAAGGGGCGCAGCCTACTGG